CACAAAAAAAAAAAACATTTACTCTCTAGACTACACAATACCTTGATCATTGAATACTTATTGATTAATGATTACATTCAAAAGATATAAAATGTTAAAAAGATATATGTAAGATAAATGTATTTGTGTAAGATCAATCAATGCAAATTTAACAACTTCCATAATTCCTAAAGTATTATTAAAATCTATAACATTTTGCATTCTTTTACATGTTACATTGACAATTACTTTACAGACACTTTATAATCCACACTGACTTACAAATGATGAATAGCACAAACACGTGATTAATCATGGATAAAATAAGTTTCAATACAGAGTTTTGAAGTTGACCAGAAGGGTATAGTACAACCAAATAAAATCTTTAAAAAAAAAAAGTTCTTTATTGACATCTGTGGTTCCGTTAAGAACTTTTAACATCCATGGAATTTTCCCAATGCACAAACGGTTCTTTACAGTGGAAAATGTTTCTTGAGATAATTAAATTGTTCTTCACACAATGAAAGTAATGGCCTTTTTAAGAACTCATTAACAGGTTCTTTGGGGAACCAAAAACAGTTATTCTATGGCTTTGCTGCTAAAACCCTCTTCAGGTGGGGTTTTTCCCGTGATCTCATATAAGCCATTTTTGAAGAACATTTTAATATTCTGAGGAACCATTTTCCTCTATAAAGAACCTTTTGTGAAATTGAAGGTTACAGGGATATTAAAGTTTCTACAAGGAACTATAGATGCCAATAAATAACCTTCATTTTTAAGAGTGTTGGTTTAAGAAGAAAACAAATCTTCACAGTAGGCTTTTTTTTTTTTTTTTTAATAAGTGTGAAAAGGAGTCTAGAACAAATGTTTAAAATTTAATTTAATAGCTTATAGAAAAACTTATTTTCATCTGTTCTTGAGTGTCATTATTGTTTTGGCTACATAAAAACTTGCTGGTTGCTTCAGTCCAATCAAAAAGGAACATACGACTGCTAAATACAATACGTAGAGCTATTTTAATGCAATTTTATATTTGTCCATTGGTTGGCGCTCTGGCATGGTATATAAGGGCAATTGGTTAATGAGACAACAGGTGTGTATTGGTAGTAGGGAAGCACACTAGTGACAGTTTGTTAAACCGGCTCATTCGGTTCTTGTTGAGTCCTCGGCAAACTTTCGGTTCTTTTTGAGTCGGACGTGCTACTTCAGCTGTGCGTCCTGCGTCATCAACCCGGAACTAAAGTTCGATTCAGTTTGATTCAGTTCGACATACTACCTGCTCGCGACTTGAATGCGAGCTGAGGTAAGATGTAAGCAGTTTAACATGACGAGACAATTCAGCAATATTTGCGTTTGTTTAACGATAAAACAAAATGTTAAACGACAGACATTAATTTTCAAGAATGCAAACTACTACTGGCCTTTTCAAATTTCTCAGATTTTAATGCCATTTACGTTATTCGTCACAATGTAGCCTACATATTAGCAGTTTTCTATTTAGGATATTTTAAAATGTAATTTATATCTGTGATCAAAGCTGACTTTTCAGCATCATTACTCCAGTCATCAATGTTCCTTCAGAAATCATTTTAATGCTGCTTAATTTGCTACTTAATCATTATCAGTTAAAGAACAGCATTTATTTGAAATATAAGTACTTCGTAATATGTGTAAATATCTTTACTGTCACTTAAATCAATTTAATTCAACCTTGTTGAAGAAAAAATATTAATTTATATTTTTTAATCTTACCCAAGACTGAATGGTATCACATTTTCTACAAAAATATGAAGCAGCACAACTGTTTTCAACATTCATAATAATCAGAAAAATGTTTCTTGAGCAGCATATTACAGATTTCTGAAGGATCATGTTGAAGACTGGAGTAATGATGCTAAAAATTCAGCTACGATCACAGCAATTAATTATATTTTACTATATATTCGCATAGAAGACAGCTATTTTAAATAGTAACATTATATATTTCACAGTACTGTTTACTGTATTTTTCATCATCAAAATAATTTGTATACTCTTTTCCACAATTGGAGCTCTATTCCTTAAAATGATAGATGTCAAGCTCTTGCAAAAGGACAAATACTGTATATGACCAATAGAAAGGCACCATAAAAACAGTCCGCATTCTGCAAGTTACGTCCGACTTGCTCTGATGTCATGCTGACGTGTGCAAAAAAACTCTTGCGACGAGTGACACAGCTTAATGCTCATTGGTTCAGACAACCGTGATGCTGCGTTCTCTTCTAAAATATTTTATTTCTTTATCTGGTTTCATGTGATTT